CAGCTTTCAGGCGCGGCCTACTGCGATCCCATAGGTAAAAACATGTCCAATGTACACAGATAAAACTTCTGAATTTTAATTGTGATGTAAACATTCATTCACGTAGAATTGTATTTCATTGCGAACGATGTTGTTTACAAAGATGGGCTTTTGTATACAATATTTGTTACATTGTATGAAATGTGTTAGAACTTTACATGATATTTAATGTAAACGTATATTATATGTGACGCTCCATTTATGTGCATCATATTGCACAGAAATTTACACTACTTTTTTGAACTGTGTATAGTTTAAAATGATGCTTAGAGCAACCGTACCAGTCGTTGCCATTTGCGGCACTATTTTACTTACGCACAGTGTTTCCATTTTGGCTTAATCACTCCTCTCCACACCGGTCGTTGCTATCAGAGTCATAATTTAAGTTACCGTTTTCCACACCGGCAAAACAAACTTTTGGCGTTTATTCAAATTAGCAATCGTCTGATGCGTTGCTTCCGTGTTGCTAAATTTATGAACTCACTACTTCTCAACAAGGTTACTTCCATTCACTCGCTATAAAAAAAACGTTTTTCGGAATTATGAAATCATGAGATGGAATAAAAGTAATTAAAATTTGTAAGCTACAAGAAGAGGTCGTGAAGTATGTGTTTGACACATCAAATCTGTCAATATTGCTGTTAGTACGTCACAATCAGCGATTTTACGACTCGTGAGCGCTCACTCTGAGTGAACGCTCATTAATCATAAGATCACTGATTATGACGCCCTGAAAGCAAAATTGACAGATTTTATGAATCAAACACATAATTTACACCCTCTTCTTGTTACTTACAAGTCCAACAAATCATTATATCAAATAATGATTGCATAATTCCGAAAAATATTTTTTTTATAGCAAGTGAGTGGAAGCAACCCTGCTTCCCAAGGTGCGGATTGCTATTTCCCCCACCTGAATAGCCACCCCCGGTACGCAAGTAGCCTTATGGTAGAGGTTGGTAAAAGTGCCTTATTTACTCATTGGGACGGTTGCTCTTATACACTGTACACAAACATCATCCTCTGATCGAATGAAACCTCAGACCATTCAAAACAAAAGACCGAAATCGCTTTTTTGAATGATAGCTGCAACCGGATGACAGTTGTTTTGAAATCAGATGATTTTCCTCTCGAATACTGGATGAAACTTGTTATGAGAAGGGATAGGGCCTTCAGTTGAAATGCGTAATGCTCTCTGCAGAATGACTGTCATACTTAATGGAAATGCATATGGTATTGGTTCAGCCCCATAACACAAATCATTAAAAACGATGATGTAAATAATTCTATTGAACGTCATTTGCTGATCTGAGCTGACAAACGAGGTGGAAGCATATGCATCGCTATCAGAGCTGTTACGAACAAAGGTAAAGGATGAAAACCAATGTTTGGCTAATTCGTGGTGGAGGAGGTTTTCTCCACCACGAATTTTTTTTTTGTATCCATGATGGAATGGCTTATTATGGCTATTCAGTATGGAATTGTACATAATCAAATTATAAATCTAATTAAAAGCACTTGCATGTCACACTATTCTTAAATGTTTGTTCTCAGAGTGCCGTATGTTTTATAGCTAATTTTCAAACGAAAATCATCCTGTATTTGGATGACACTCATATGGATGTTCATCATCTGACGACGAATTCAACCATAAGAAAATCATCTGAAATTCGAATGCATATTGTTAAAGGGCTCGAGCAATGCAATAATCATTCGAAGTATTGCGGATTTTTTGATTCAGTGTATATCATGATTCGTGGTCATTTTCTATAGGCGGGGCAAGAAAAACCTACACTGAACCAAAACATCCGCAATACTTCGAATGATTATTGCATTGCTCGAGCCCTTTAACAATATGCATTCGAATTTCGGATGATTTTCTTATGGTTGAATTCGTCTTCAGATGATGAACATCCATATGACTGTCATCCAAATACAGGATGATTTTCGTTTGAAAATTAGCTATAAACCATACGGCACTCAGAGGACAAACATTTAAGAATAGTGTTACATGCAAGTGTTTTTAATTAGATTTATAATTTGATTATCTACATTTCGATACTGAATAGCCATAATAAGTCATTCCATTATGGATACAAAATTTTTTCGTGGTGAAGGAAACCTCCACCACCGAGTCCACCACGAATTAGCCAAACATTGGTTTTCATCCTTTACCTATGTTCGAAACAGCTTTGATAGCGATGCATATGCTTCCACCTCTTTTGTCAGCTCAGATCAGCAAATGACATTCGATAGAATTATTTACATCATCGTTTTGAATGATTTGCTTTATGGGGCTGAACCAATACCATATGCATTTCCATTTAGTATGACAGTCATTCTGCAGAGAGCATTACGCATTTCAACTGAAGGCCCTATCCCTTCTCATAACAATTTTCATCCTGTATTCTAGAGAAAAATCATCTGATTTCAAAACAACCGTCATCCGTTGCAGGTATCATTCGAAAAAACGATTTCGGTGATTTGTTTTGAATGGTCTGAGGTTTCATTCGATCAGAGGACGATGTTTGTGTACAGTGTAAGAGGAAGAGGAGACAACTTACTGGCTTCTTTTTGTCTGTGACGTGTTTTTCTTCTCTCGCGGAAACGATTTTGCGAAATCTATTTCATTATGGGCGACGCAGTCGACTGTCAAAATACAAGAAAATAGATTCCATGTTGTAAAAATTCTCACGATTCTATACGTTCGCCCGACCAATCAGGCGCTGCGCGTTTGACAGTAAATTGGTTCTTAAAAGTCCCTTTATTTTCTCCTTTTCATCCTAGGAAAAAAAAACAATCTAATAGCGAATTCGTTTATTATTCAGTTCCAACCTGGATCGGGGATCAAAATTGAGTCTGTTTTTTGAGAAACGTCTGTTTGCTCGTTTGTTTTTAAAACCTAGTTGAGGTTCACACTGACAAAAAGTTCGGTTTCGCACTGGGTTGGAACTGGTGTTAACCCCGATAATAAACGAAATCACTATTAGGTTATAAGTATAAGGGTACCTGTAATTTTTCCGGTGCTAGGCACTTTATTCTGAAATCTGTCATGTAGAACAAAAACGTCCAATATATTAGATAAATAAGGGTTGCGAGTGGGGAGATGTTTAATGAAGTTATAAATCGTGTGTTAATTTGCGTAAATCAGCGTGAAATTTACAGAAACAAACTTCACATGCACCTACACACTCAATGGCAAAGGCACCAAAAGTCACTCCTAACTTCAAAAAAATCAGAGACTAATTTTATTGTAGCATCTCTCAGAAATGATTTTGATGTTCAAATGTTTTTCCAATGCTTCGTTGCTAGCGAGTGGCTTTTGAGTGGCAAGATTGATTGATAGAATCCGTAAATGGCCGTTGTCATGGCAGCCATATGTGGATTCTAGCAACCTTGTCCTTAAATCAGTTCATCCTAACGATTAGGCAGGAAAGGTGGGAAAAATATACGGAAAATGTTCTTAGAAACTTCAAAAAGAAGTCACAAGAAACTGCTGGTGAAGTTAGAAGAATTTTGCGCTCGATGGTGTTAAAACTGCCAGGAAAATTCGAGAATTAAGATATACATCCCACAAGTCAGAAGAGTCTTCAAGTGACGAACCAGCCACTGGCTGAAAGTCACTATAATAAAGAAAAAAAAAAGAAGAATCTTCGGTGTTTTAATTATTTTTGTAGTAAAAGTTAAAGTTTAAAAGAAATTTTAAATTTTAACCGGGTTACACACTTAGAAAAATTCATGTTAATTTAGGTGCCCCGAGAGTGACATATACGAGCGTCAATTTTGACATAAATTTGAGTCGTAACAGACGCGAAATGCAGCTTAATCATACATTTCAGTCTCGGAGCACTTAATATTACATGGCATATTTGTTTACGTCTCATCTTTTATGTCGAAAATGGATTCTGTCACGTGTAAAATTAGTTATTTATAAGTGTGTAGGGTGTCGCCACTCTAAGGCCCCTAGCAACGTGAAAGCTGGTGACCGGACTGACAAGGAATAACAATTATTAATACTGTACCTAATGTTGGTTGGTGTTATCAATTTGTACCATAAAAGAAGCCCAACATTTCATTAATGGGCTGTCTACACTTATGCTAGTTCAGTAGCTAGCACGATTTTTAGTTGTTCCTGAAATCTCATGTTGGTAGATACTGACGCCCGGTTTACATTAACTGGCTACTTTTCTAGTACACTAGCTCTAGCAAATCAGCAGCACAGATGTAAACACAAACCGGCGCCGGTGGTGTAGTGGTAAGCGTGACTGTTTTCTAATACCCCAATGGGTCTGGGTTCAATCCCAGCCGAGGTCGGTGGGATTTTTCTGAGGCATAAAAATCTCTGGTCACGTCTTCCTTCGGAAGGGAAGTAAAGCCGTTGGTCCCGGCCCATGTATGTTGAATGGGTGCGATATCCTACGCAGGTGTGGAAGCTGCCTTCCTGCACATTCGATTGCCGTCAATGGATGGTGATTGGCACTAGATTTCGGAACAGAGACCGACGTTAAATAAATGAAAGAAAAAAAAAACAAGATGTGAACACCACATAGAGCCAGAATAGGATACCATGCGTCTCCATGACGCCAGTTTACTTGGATGCGCTACCCTCAATGAAGGTTCATCATGCAACGATGTTGCTTATTATAGCGAATTCGTTTTTGATTCAGTTCTAACCTGGATCGGGTATCAAGATTGAGTCTGCTTGTTTGTTCGTTTGTTTTTAAAACCTGACACTGACAAAAAGTTCAATTTCGCCCTTGGGTTGGAACTGGTTCCAATTCCGATAACAAACGAATTCGCTATTAGTGCTCCGGCGCTCTGGTGTAAGAGTAGGAGAATGAAGGTTCACAAGAAAGCACCAACTGTCTCATTCGCATTCCCAAGTATTATTCCAACTCAAAAACAACAATCCGATGAAACCGTACCGTCCACCGGATAACGAAAAATCTTTACTTTTGCAGTGGAACAATCAGCGCTAAGCTTGGGAGGACTAGACAAAGTAGGTTGCAGAAGAAATCAGTGAATCACTGGATGAGTGGGAGTAGAAGACGTCTTCTTCGCGGAAGACGACCGACGGAGCAAAGTTAGTTATCGTAAGTGATAACGAAAAAATAATCCCATTTAATGGAACGGTGATCGCCTCGCACTTTCCGCTGGTGATGATTATCGTGTGAAGGAAGCGAAAAAGACAAATTGAAAAGAAGGCCAAGCGAAGCAATTTCCCGTTGGCAAGAGCAACCAGCAATCAATTTGAGTAAAGTGCATTCCGAAAGTAATCCGTGTGAAGTAAGTGTATCTAGTAAGTTTCAAAAGAAGAAATCTTGTACCAGCTGAAGTCAGTGGCGGTGAAACGAATCCTTTCATCGTTGTGGCCGAACCGTAATCCCAGAAGATTTCATCGTTTTAGTTAAAAATACATACGTTCATCGGTGCCCATGTTGTTACACACATATAAAGCAGGGAAGCAGTGAAAGGTGAGTCTTAACCTAACTCAAATAAAATGAAACGTTGGGATACGAGAATCTTTTAAGCTCGTCGGGAAAACCTATGCATGATGATGTATAACATATACCTACTTTTTGTGCTGAACTCTTCCCGGGGAGTCAAAAGTTAAGGCAGAAGAAAGGAACGAGGGTTGACCGACAAAAGGTGGGCGGGATGCGGTGGTAAAAGAGAAAACTGATTCCCTTGGGGTAGCTTGAATAAAACTCTTGTTGGTCTTGTGTCATGTTGCATGATGTGGGATACACGGGAGATAAATTAAGCAATCACCTCAAACATGTGTGAATTTGGTTTTGTATGTTGTTTTATGATCAATTAAGATCTTGCCGCGTAGAAGACTTGATAACAGTGCTAAACAATTACCCAGCTCGACACAGAACAATTAAAGTGATCATTTTGTGCACTAAAGATTCAAAGTGCTTCTTAACATCTGTTCGAAAAATGTATGGACTTTAAATCATAATAATTTAAGGCTGAAGACACCGTCACTTAATTTGTATTTGAAATTTTGCCAATATCCAAACGTCAGATACTGTAGTGCTGCATTTGGGCGAAGGGGGAAGCAACGCATAGAAAAATAAGCAAATGCACAAACCTTTCTTCTGAAGTTACAATCTTTGGTATCAAATTTGTTCGAAACATTTACCTTTGGGCGGAAAATGAGGTAATTGTGCTTGCCTCAAAGCGGTCGTATGAGAAAATGGAAGAGTTGCCAGTCTTCTTGATATGTTGTCTTTGATGTCTGATTGCGGTGGCTGACCAGCCATGTGGAAAAATATGCTACATTTGATGAATGAACTTTGGACCCCTTCACCCTTGTAGTATATTTTCTACATGGCTGATCACTCTAAAATGTTACGTCATTTATGCATCTCTCGTAAAGAGGGACCATGGTCCCGTTTAAAACTTTTCCCTACATATTGAAACTTTTCCTCAGGGAACCTCTTGAACGGTCGTTGATGGGAAAAACCTTCTAGAAACGCTTTGAAGTTTAGGTATGAATGCAGCTGACCAAGTTGTATTATTCTACCTTACCCACTTACTCAATTTTGCGAAACGGTTAAAACGGAAACGTAACGTAATGAAAGTGAGGTTTATTCCAAGGGCAGCATTGAAACGTACACATGAAACCGACTTTAAACTTATTTTATAACTAAAAAGTGTCCCACATCAAATTGCGTCACGGAAAAAAAACACTGTAGAAAATTACCTAGTTGACCAATCCTTTTCAAACTCGCACCTTACGCTTAACTCCACTCATTATGTTCTGTACAACATCAGGCTGCAGCGTCTTCTGTATGGAAACCCACTTTTTCTTCATGTCTTCCTCAGATTTGACCTCCTGGTTCATGTCCTTGGGTACGAAAGTGACCCCGTTGGCTTCGTACCACTCCAGGACAACATTTCAATAGTGGCACGAAGCTACCCAACAAACAATTGAGAGCTCTTATAAAACACCTGAGTTGATCAAACGTTGAATAATAGCTTCCAGAGTTGAACAAGAATGTAGTTGTATTGCCATTTGATTAAAAGTTTTAAAAGCAGTTGGAGCACTCTTAAATGATTGTTAACGTTCGGTTTACCTATATGCTTTATAAGACCTACGATAACTTTTATAGCACCTTAGTTAAACCGATTGACAAGAGCTATATAGAACGTGGAATAAACGCATCAAAACAAACCATTGGGAGCTCTTATAAAACACCTGAGTTGATCAAACGTTGAATAATAGCTTTCAGAGTTGAACAAGAATGTAGTTGTATTGCCTTTTTGGTTAGAAGCTTAAAAAGCTGCTTGGAGCACTCTTAAATGATTGTTTACGTTCGGTTAAACTGTTTGACATGAGCCATATAGGATGTGGAATAAACGCAACAAAACAAACCATTGGGAGCTCTTAAACAACACCTGAGTTGATCAAACGTTGAATAATAGCTTCCAGAGTTGTACAAGAATGTAGTTGTATTGCCTTTTTGGTTAGAAGCTTCAAAAGCTGCTTGCAGCACTCTTAAATGATTGTTTACGTTCGGTTAAACTGTTTGACAGGAGCCATATAGGATGTGGAATAAACGCATCAAAACAAACCATTGGGAGCTCTTATACAACACCTGAGTTGATCAAACGTTGAATAATAGTTTCCAGAGTTGTACAAGAATGTAGTTGTATTGCCATTTGGTTAAAAGCTTCAAAAACTTCTTGGAGCACTCTTAAATGATTGTTTACGTTCGGTTAAACTGTTTGACAGGAGCCATATAGGATGTGGAATAAACGCATCAAAACAAACCATTGGGAGCTCTTATGCAACACCTGAGTTGATCAAACGTTGAATAATAGCTTTCAGAGTTGAACAAGAATGTAGTTGTATTGCCTTTTTGGTTAGAAGCTTCAAAAGCTGCTTGGAGCACTCTTAAATGATTGTTTACGTTCGGTTAAACCGATTGACAAGAGCTATATAGGATGTGGAATAAACGCAACAAAACAAACCATTGGGAGCTCTTAAACAACACCTGAGTTGATCAAACGTTGAATAATAGCTTCCAGAGTTGTACAAGAATGTAGTTGTATTGCCATTTGGTTAAAAGCTTCAAAAGCTGCTTGGAGCACTCTTAAATGATTGTTTACGTTCGGTTAAACTGTTTGACAGGAGCCATATAGGATGTGGAATAAACGCATCAAAACAAACCATTGGGAGCTCTTATACAACACCTGAGTTGATCAAACGTTGAATAATAGCTTCCAGAGTTGAACAAGAATGTAGTTGTATTGCCTTTTTGGTTAAAAGCTTCAAAAGCTGCTTGCAGCACTCTTAAATTATTGTTTGCGTTCGGTTAAACTGTTTGACAGGAGCCATATAGTATGTGGAATAAACGCATCAAAACAAACCATTGGGAGCTCTTATACAACACCTGAGTTGATCAAACGTTGAATAATAGCTTCCAGAGTTGAACAAGAATGTAGTTGTATTGCCTTTTTGGTTAGAAGCTTCAAAAGCTGCTTGCAGCACTCTTAAATGATTGTTTACGTTCAGTTAAACTGTTTGACAGGAGCCATATAGGATGTGGAATAAACGCATCAAAACAAACCATTGGGAGCTCTTATACAACACCTGAGTTGATCAAACGTTGAATAATAGTTTCCAGAGTTGTACAAGAATGTAGTTGTATTGCCATTTGGTTAAAAGCTTCAAAAACTTCTTGGAGCACTCTTAAATGATTGTTTACGTTCGGTTAAACTGTTTGACAGGAGCCATATAGGATGTGGAATAAACGCATCAAAACAAACCATTGGGAGCTCTTATGCAACACCTGAGTTGATCAAACGTTGAATAATAGCTTTCAGAGTTGAACAAGAATGTAGTTGTATTGCCTTTTTGGTTAGAAGCTTCAAAAGCTGCTTGGAGCACTCTTAAATGATTGTTTACGTTCGGTTAAACCGATTGACAAGAGCTATATAGGATGTGGAATAAACGCAACAAAACAAACCATTGGGAGCTCTTAAGCAACACCTGAGTTGATCAAACGTTGAATAATAGCTTCCAGAGTTGTACAAGAATGTAGTTGTATTGCCATTTGGTTAAAAGCTTCAAAAGCTGCTTGGAGCACTCTTAAATGATTGTTTACGTTCGGTTAAACTGTTTGACAGGAGCCATATAGGATGTGGAATAAACGCATCAAAACAAACCATTGGGAGCTCTTATACAACACCTGAGTTGATCAAACGTTGAATAATAGCTTCCAGAGTTGAACAAGAATGTAGTTGTATTGCCTTTTTGGTTAAAAGCTTCAAAAGCTGCTTGCAGCACTCTTAAATTATTGTTTGCGTTCGGTTAAACTGTTTGACAGGAGCCATATAGTATGTGGAATAAACGCATCAAAACAAACCATTGGGAGCTCTTATACAACACCTGAGTTGATCAAACGTTGAATAATAGCTTCCAGAGTTGAACAAGAATGTAGTTGTATTGCCTTTTTGGTTAGAAGCTTCAAAAGCTGCTTGCAGCACTCTTAAATGATTGTTTACGTTCAGTTAAACTGTTTGACAGGAGCCATATAGGATGTGGAATAAACGCATCAAAACAAACCATTGGGAGCTCTTATACAACACCTGAGTTGATCAAACGTTGAATAATAGTTTCCAGAGTTGTACAAGAATGTAGTTGTATTGCCATTTGGTTAAAAGCTTCAAAAACTGCTTGAAGCACTCTTAAATGATTGTTTACGTTCGGTTAAACTGTTTGACAGGAGCCATATAGTATGTGGAATAAACGCATCAAAACAAACCATTGGGAGCTCTTATACAACACCTGAGTTGATCAAACGTTGAATAATAGCTTCCAGAGTTGAACAAGAATGTAGTTGTATTGCCTTTTTGGTTAGAAGCTTCAAAAGCTGCTTGGAGCACTCTTAAATGATTGTTTACGTTCGACCAACCACCAACCACAATTTTGTTGCTAAAAATAGCACAAGTGATAGGCACGTTTATATGACCATAAGTCAATGATTATTCGACTGCAAGAGAAGTCACTCAAGATGAGCTTCATATACTTCTCTCATATGATCAAAATATGTAATCTAGAATAGAGCAGATGGAAACAGAAGCGGCTGGCAATCCGGGATCATGAGTTCGAATCTTGCTTCGAGAAACCCTCGGTGGAGTAGAAGTAAATTATATATAGGTGTTTATTGATAAATGCAAACATTAATTTAAGACATATATCATATAATCAACGATAACATTTCTAGATAAATTCTCTTAATTAATGATTAGAGAGATTAATTGAAAGAATATCAATCAAAGATTAAGCAGATGCTTGTTACTACTACTTCCTCCATGATCACAGAATGTGAATTATGGCATAAATACATATTTTTTCAATGTGCACAAATAAATTAAATTAATAAAAACTGTACAAACAATTATTTTGGCGTACCACGACAATTGTTAAACTAATTTTAATCTGTGAATATTGTGAGTA